ACTTTGGAGGGGCCCATAGCTGACATAACAGCCAATATGTTTAGTGATATAATAAACTATAAATGTTCAACTTTATTTAGGCTATATTTACTGTTATTCTACCTTTGTACAGTCCCTAGGTAGGCCTAGGGCTGGGTATCATTAAGAAGTTGCTAATATGATACATATCTCGATACAGCCCTAAGTAGCACTAATGGTAGTTTTGCTCTTTTTGCACTATTTTCAATAGATTACCCTGGCCCACTGAAGTGAATAACCTCACAATAAACCTTTTAACAGTGACACCCACATCCTCTTTCAGCACTCACTGCTCTAATGTTGTGAACCCTCTCATAGTGTTAAGTCCATAACATGGGCCTGTTGAATGTAAGGAGAGGATGTAGGTTATGTTTCGAGATGTTTTTGTTTTCTCGTCCCTCCTGGTTCGGAGCGGTGGGTTTGGAGCAACAGAAGGTAAAATAAACAGCACAGACTTCCCCCGGAACAAGATCTATTCCCAAAGGAATCCTGAGAATGTAGACCAGGAGCTTGGACCTAATCTAACCACATCCTGAACACTGTAAGAGGGAGAGAGAAGAGAGAAGGGGAGAGAGAAGAGAGAGAGTGTGTGAGGGAGAGAGAGGACAGACAGAGAAAGAAGAGAGAGAGAGAGAGAGAGAGAGAGAGAGAGAGAGAGAGAGAGAGAGAGAGAGAGAGAGAGAGAGAGAGAGAGAGAGAGAGAGAGAGAGAGAGAGAGAGAGAGAGAGAGAGAGAGAGAGAGAGAGAGAGAGAGAGCGAGAGAGAGAGAGAGACAGGAAGGGAGGGATGTGTTTTAGTTTTTTAGTTGAGTGATACAGAAAAAAAGGGAGCTACTGTGACTATGCTGAAGGGGAGAGAGTGCTGAGAAGAGAAGGGACTATAGGTAAAAGGAATGGATGGCTGGATGCCCTTCCAGATAAAATATTTTTAATAGGTTTCACGGGTTTTAACTGGGTTTAATTGCATGTTTGTTTGTTTGTTTTTTTATCAATAACCACGACAGTAATGGTAATCTACTTCCATAGATTCTCTACAACCACCAATCACGCACTGAACTTTAAATCATGTTGTAGATAAAGGTTTCATGTCATGTGAACTGGTCACCATAAAGGAGGTAGGTCACCATGAATTAAGTGTAAAATGATAAAAATTGTCATATTTATATAGCACTTTTCTACCTTCAAGGAACCACTCACCCATTAACACACACATTCAAACATCACTACACACAAACACTGGGGGCAAGGTGGGTTAAATGTCTTGTACAAGCACACAACAATACTATTCATCTGCATTTATGTATGCTATGTATGTTCTGTATAGCGTTTTCCCATCCCTCCCTCAGCTCTGCGTTCACCTTGTATTCTGATCTTGAACTTGCCGCTCTGCCCGAAGCCACCCTCAATGACGCCGGTCTCTCCCGTCGACAGCGTGACCTTTAACCCCATGAACAGCTGCAGGTTGGTTTCCTTCTTAAACAGACTGCGGCCGATCACCGTGTAGTCGTCTGTGACCTGAGCGCACATACGGGGAACATAAAGCATTATTGCAAGAAGGGTTATCTACAAGTGGATTAGCCCGAGATAAATAAATAAATAAAGGATGCAATAATAAACAGGATTCGGAAGAAGTCAGTATTACGCTGATAGGATAATAAGCAAATGGAGTCACTGTGTAAAATAAGGGACCTCTGCCAATTAGTTCAGCCATTTTAAACCAATATAACAAGATATACAGAAAACTCCTGCCCGCTTGATCATGATTAACCTAAAAAAATTTTTTTTGCCGACTAACGCATCTTGCTGTCAGCACAGATATTGGGCATTAACAGAATTTCTATGGCTTTTTACATATTTAGAACAAGAAGAAAACATTAAGAACTTAAGCTGATTCAATGGTAATTTGGGCACTTAATGCATGTTTAGCAACAAGTTCTAATATGGCGGTAGTTGGCGTTTTTGTCACATGTCAGTCTGGAGAAGAAAAAAAAAGATTAAAGTTTTTTTTTTTTTTTTTTTTTTTTCATAAAACACTACAAGCACAAGTTTAAATTGTTATTTCAGGTATCAAAACCATCAAAATTTTAACTCTGCAAAAAATTTTTTGCTTTTGCGTCAAAAAATCAATAATAACAATGCCAATACAGATATTCAACAGTTTCAGCGATAGATTGATATTAGGCTGATATTTGCACTTTTTAGAGTATTGGCTATCAGCTTTACATCTCTGTACTGGTCAATTATTAGTTTAGTTTTTGGCAGACCTGCTACCTAAAGAATATGCATAAAACTTCATTTGAACTCATCAGTGCAAAAATAACTGTACCAAACATTACTACACAGCTCTATGATTGTTGTAAAAAAAAAATAATAATAATAATAAAAAAAGGGGCTGTGAGTGAGTTGTTAGTACATCTAAAAGATACGAATGAAATAATCAAAATCAGCACTACATATGGTCCCAGAAAATATCAGTAAACTGGGGGTGAGTTATATCTCAGTATTTAAAATATATTGAGATATTTCTTAAACACAAAATGGATTCTGACATGCCATATATATCTATATAATTCTTATATTTAATTCTGATTTCGTCGCTTCACTCCACTGGCACAAGGAGCAAGCCGTTTTTTCAGAGGTTATAGTTTATGCAAATTAGCCATATGGTTTTAAGTATCATTTCTGTAAAATGTAAACAAATGTGTGCAAAACTGCATTAAACACATTATGATATCAAATCATGCTTTATGTTGTAAAGTTTAGTAATGTAAAATGTATTTATGCAGAAGATTTGGATTAATAATCTGCTGCAGTATAGAATTTGTACAATAGAGTTTGGAAATATTCAGTTTGATCTGCACAGTGGATTGTGGGATACCTCATAGCTCCTGAGCTTCCTCTGCTAAAGAAACTCATGGTTATGGTTATTGTCTGGTAAGCAAAGATGAGCTTGACTTGAATTGGTTTTTTTTTTATTTAAATAAGGCAATATGTATTATTTCTTCCTTTATTTTACATCTTAATTATAATTTTTATACACTGGAATTTCAATTTTTTTTAAATGTTGCAGAAGCACTTTGTTCCTACATGAACTCCCTACCTCTTTGCACTTCGATAAAAAATGACCTTGTGGAATTTGGCATATTTGTTTTTGCAGTAGTTTTGGAGGGGTTATTTTTCCTGTACAGATATCGAGATATATATCGTATAATGAGATAATGCAAAATTTACCGAGATATATTTTTTGCTCTATATTGCCAAGCCCTAGTAGACATTATTGGCCATTGGTTTCTCTGGATTTTAAACAAACAGCATCACAAATAAAATAAAAACATATTAGTCAAACCCCAATAATGATACAAAACAAACAAAAACAAAAAATATCTGTATTTTGCACATTCCTATACTCCTATACATAAAAACACTATTGACTTTCTCTTGTTCAGTCACACATTTTTGAACTGCAGTTATATTTAGACAATAATTCACATTTCTCCTCTTTATGTGAGACCTCGTGCATCTCAGCTCTGTCCATGTCACGTTCTGTTAGCGCTGTCGCCTGCCTGTCTCTCAACTGTCTTTCAACCTCCTGCACATTTTATGCCACATTTGTTTGTATTTCTTGCTTATCCTCCATCACTAACCCGCCGCTAATCTGATAACAGGCAGGGCACCGCTCTGTCTCCTAGTCACCCGCGTCCTCATTCATGCCTGAACATTTGACCCGGGTTAGGACCGTGACCATGTATGCTGCGATAGACACAAATACAGTGGTGTACGCTCGTCTGACGAACATCTCAACAATGCTAGTTATGTGTGTGCTTTAGCTTCGGGAATCCTCAGAACACAGGCATCGCGTTCTGGTGGAGGCATCACATGACCAGTGTATGACCCCAGCGCTCTGTCAACGGCCCCGGGCGCTAACGGCAGGAAGTTAGCTAACGCGGTTCACCTTTAGCCCGACGCTGACCTCTCACAGGGTGCAAAGTCATGCTATGCTGTACTAGGAGGATATATGTTATTATTTTGGTTTATGGATGTTAGGGCTGGGTGATGTGGTGATACAAATCTAATCGAGATCTCATCCCATACCATCATTCACTTTTTCTTCTTTTAAAAAGGCCCTGTACTCTAGGGGTGTGCAAAAACCACAAAGTATCGATATATCTTGATACTAACTTTGGTGGTACAGTATCGTTATCATGGACTGCTGTATCAATATATCGCCAAGAGTAGTTTTGGTATCTTTCAGTGATTTTATTTTGTGACAACGCTACCATTTTGTTGTTTATTTAGTGGAAGGACGGTCACAATAATTACTATACTGACTTATACTTCAATATATTAAAGGAACAATATATATTTGGGGTCCAATATTTATTGCATGTATAGAGGGATTATCAGACTACGCTCTACTGTGCATGTCTCCTGCAGAAAGAGACGCTGTCCTCTCTGGTATCATGTCAGTGTTTCGTGAGTGGATGAGTGAGTGGATGTCCTGCTACTGAAGTTTGAGCCATTTCTTCACTCGCCTGCATTTAACACACATGGGTCATTGAAACATATCCCATTCACTAAAGTTAATTCAGAATCATAACTTATTTTATCACACAGTGATAAACTGTATTAGTGCACTGATAACAGCTCCAGCTAAGGTTGCAACTTCATGTTAACCACACAGACTGTGGTGCTTTCTGCACTTAGGCTGCGCGGGCATTCGCTGTGTTGATAAACAAATAATCCGTCTATATTTTCTAGGGATGCACCAATACTGATACTGGTACCAAGTATCTGTGCAGATTCAGGAAAATTTGCAGAATAGGGTATCGGTTCCATGATATTGGGTCAGTCGATATCCTGGTTGAACTCTTTACTGACTGATATTGGCCCAGGATCTCAAGATTGAGATCTCATGATATTTGAACTTTAATTCATACAAAGCTCAGTTATATAACACGATCAGATGAATTCTGTAATAAGTTAACTGTATTTTGAGAGAAAAACATGCCATTTTTCATGACTACACTGGTATTGGTCACTGAAAAACCTGGATCAGTGCATCCCAGACATTTTCTTTACAACCATGGGGAGATTTTTGTTATTTTAGTTATAATACAATAAGAATTCCATTATAAAGTGTTGAATAAATAAGTTCTATGGCTAATTATTGGTCATTCTTTTGGGCATTTGCTGCAGCTCAGGCATTTTTATGATTCTGTCTTTTTAAACTGGTTTACTGGGATTATTCTGCATTATTGTTATTGTGTCTGTGGCATTAAGTAGTTTCAATATTACTGTTTATCGTTTCTCAGCAGTGATATATCATCACAGGCCTACACTGGACATATTCACTGTATTGATGATTAAAACGTGTGTATTCTATATTAGGTTCGTACAGGTAGAAGTTAAACAAAGAAATACTCTTGTTAAAACTTATTTGGTTCTTAAAAACTGTGAGATCTCATGTGTAGCATATCGCTTATCACATATATTGTGATATCATCACATGATCTATCGCAGAGAATCCAGAGAGATCCTGTGACTTACAGCCCAACTGTACTCATGTATTTAAGCAAAGTATGTCTTGTCCCCATACAGATATAGTGTATAAGCAGCACCAGCAGTTTGCTGTGTGCTGTCTGCATCTAATTAGAAAGTGAGTTAATGTTTGATAATTAGGAAGGGTATGTTAGCATGCTGGTTGTCGTTAGCTTTACCATCACGGCAACACCTCTCTGAGATCCACTCTGAGATTTATTAAAAGTGCGTAAATTAAGTGAGTAATAACTTTGGACCACTGCAAATCATTTAAAATGAATAAGTTCTGTTTTTCCCTTTTTTAAGACAAGAATATTTAATACAAACAATGTTCATTCCCTTTTCTCCTATTGGTTAGCCCCCACTCTGAGTAAGAGAAAGATGCATTTAACCAGTTACAGTACAGTGTTAAAGGAGCATGTGTTTTTCTGTAAAACACTCTGTGGTTAATGTTATTAATACTTTTACATTTTGGATGATGTCATGCTGAGGTACCTGATTTCATTTAATTTCATTGTCAATATCAGGCTAAAATTTTTGAATTCTTCCATTTCTAAACACTATATAATTATGTGTTTAAAAATAATAATTCTGTGTTTAAAAATGTTTCTGTTTTTAACTTCTACTTGAGTAGAGCAGTGAGCGATCTAATTTTTTACATTTTAGGAGAGTATATTTTTGAAATTATATGGTCTAAGAAAAAATAAAGCTAAAGTTTTATTATTATGTGATGGGAAAATAAGTGGATTTTTCTGCTGTTCTTGAGATAGTTATAATAGTCCACAGGTCATTTAGATTGAAGTCAAAACACACCGTGAGTGCCTCACTGTTCCTCAGTGTAGTGATTTTGAAAAGCAGATCAGATAAAGGTTTAAGGCACGACCAAAACCAAAACATAAATCAGGAAGAATTAGAGACAGGCTGAGGTAAATGTGGGCGCAGGTAAAGTACCTAGATACTCCAACATAAGTACTTAAATAGTACTATGAGAGTACTACTTTAGGGCATTTCGTGAAATGAATGACTTTGACTGATTTTGACATGACTTTAATTCAAAGCACAATGTTTATATGTGACTCAGTGCAATCAAGCTTGGAGCCCTACTAAAGAGTACTAATAGAAGTCTTGGCAAAACCTGACATACTAATAGAAGTATTAGAAGTAGCATTAGCCAGAATAGTACATTGTGGTAGTGGTATAGTCGCAGATCACAGATGTCATAGGGAAATTTAAACTATCTATGAAATGTAAATAAGTAATTTGCTGACGACAGTTTAAGTTACAGCTGATTTAGCAGAAGAAAAGCTCCTGGTTTAAAACATATTTTACATACTTCCTTCCCTTGTACTACATGCGATTATTCCTGTGGCAGTCAGCTGTGACCAAACAGCGCCAACCTCTGTCCAGGAGACGGGACGGTGGCGTCAGGAGGGCCACCCACGCATGCAGACATGCATCAAACACATAAAGCACCCCGCACCTACACACCTATGCACCCATGCAACCACCCCCCCCACCCATCAAACTACAGACCACCTCGCCCGTCTGATCGTGATTGGCTCCTCTGTGCGGTAAGCCTGTGATGCAGCCTGTTTGTGAGTACCTGTGTTTATGAAAATACAATAGGGGCACTGTCTGTGGCACGCTCCGACTGCCACCAGAAATGAGAAACATCCAGAGAAGAAAAAGAACAAACGAATGCAAGGTAACGACAAGTCTACAGGTCACCACCGGGGGCAGACATTACAAGAGCAGCAATTAGCATGTGATTTTTTTTTTTTTCCCTATACCTCATTGTTGACCAGAATATTTATGTAAAAACAGTTTTCTATAAAAAAAAAATAATAATAATAATAATAAGGTTTGAGAAAAACTTTGTAGAAAAGACTAAAATGAAAACTACAAGAATCTGATGCCTAATTCTAAACATGCCTGTAGCCGTCTAAAACTAGGGTAAAAAAGGGTCGTAGCTGGTGTTATATACAATAACACTCCAGGGAGACTGGATATTTAGTGTTCATATAAAAAAAATAATGCTACTTTGATGATTTGCAAATTCTTACCATTTCAAATATTATTTTGATCAAATTACAACTAATATTCCATCTTTAATCCCAATTAATTTAATGCCAATTCTAATCAAGATTATGAGCATATACGAGTAAAAGGCTCCAACCATCATGCACATAGGACACATTTTAACAAATTCTTTACAGTAAGTCTAATCTTGATTATAGGATTTTTGTAATCATTTATGTAATAATCTCAGATCATCTATTAATCTGATGAACAAATCTAATTATTTGTACAGCCCAAATCTCATTCTCAATGACAATGCTCTATTGATACTTTGCATTGACATGATTCCTGGGGGTTGTACACGGATGTCTATAGCGGAATGTTCAGCAGTTGTCATGGTGATACAATGCATGCATTAGCAAACACAGCCTGTTAAGTTTTTACATTGTCTAAAAACTCAGTCGATGACATCAGCTGCTAAGTATCAATTAAAAAGGAGGTTTATTATCCTTAAATTTAGAGAAACAAAAAGTGCTTATGACTTACTCTCTCCACTTGCCCCTCCTTCTGTTTGGTCTTGTAGATCCGGAGTTTGGGCAGTCCTGTTTCTGTGTAGTTTTTGTCCTCAAATCCCTGCAACAATCGCCCCTGGAAGGCCAAACGACACGCATTGGCATGAATGTCCGTGTCCAGCTTTGAACCAATCACAAGGCAGAGAGAGGGACATGTGACCGGCCTCTCAAACTCTAACAGCGCCCACTGTTCCGGATCACGCCCAGTGCTGCCCTCTGCAAGTCCAGTTACATATTCATCTTGGTAGAAATACTCTCTCTCAAAATTAAAAGGCGTTTCTAGTGGATTTTGCTCTGAAGAAGTAGAGTTTGCTGATCCTGGTGGCAGCCCAAAGAATTGCACTTTTGCCATAACAGTTTCATGTCCTACAGTGATGTGAAATTTGGCGCGTGTGGACAGGGCACCCTTGAAGTAGCCGATCTTGCGGACGGAGATGATGGCAGCGTAAAGGGTGCGGAGGGACCCGGGGGTGCACACGACGCCCCGCTCTAGGAGTTTAGGGTCAAACTGGGTCACGCATACACCCACACGGTCCCCCTGCATCGCCATGGAGACGGGCTTACGGAACATTTGGATGGACTTCACCTTCTTGGTTACCTGAAACAAACAAGAGATGTGTTCTCATCGATAAAATGAAATTTACAGATGTACTGTGAAACTTGTTTGCTTGTCTGTATGTTTGCTTGTCTGGAATGTTCCAGAGTATGGGATTAACATTATCTATTCTGAATTTAAACTTTTACTGCTCAACAGATCCTCAAAAAACATCCTTTCTTACTATGGGTTGACACGTCTCTCCACACATCTAACCTCTAAACTGGCCTGGTGGAGTCATCTTTTTGTGTCCATGGAGACAACAGATGTTTGATGCCATACTCTGGAACATTATAGGTAAAGAAAAACATCTCCACAGAGACAAGCAGGCGGCAGTTCCTCAACAGACCAATTACATAGTTCATCTTTAAAGACCCTTATGCAAAGCGTCTTAAAGGTTTTAATCATTTTTTAACTATAAAAAAAAATATATATATACATAATTTCATTCATGCATGTGTTGAGTAATCCTGCTACATCGTTTTGTCCCTCTTGTGAGCAAAACACACCCCATATTTAGACATCATGTAAAGGTAATGCAATAACACCTTCACCAGACTCATTAATTTCACCACTCTTCCAACTTCTACCATTTTCAACCTTCATGTTAGCAGTTAGGCCTGTGACGATAACAAATTTTGATATATTTCTGAGGAAAATAGGTATGATAAACGATAAAACTGAAACTATGCTATACAACTGACACTATAACATGAAAGCCCCCCAAAGCAATTCTAAATGTACAATACTGCATAAAAAACTGCAATAAACAGCAGAATGGAACACTTATTTAGTTAGTTTGGATCTATTTTTAGTCCAACCTCTGCAGCTCACAGCTTATCAAAAAATCCCCCGTTAGTACAAAGAAAAGTACCCATAACAAATACTGACTGCCAAAAATAATTGTTCCATCTATAATTTACTGAACAATAAGTCGATATATTGGGAAGGCCTATTAGCAGCTATTATTTTAATTAAAATTATTCACAAATAAATCATGTAATAAATACAGTGTGTCTGGGAATGCAACTGGGTTTTCCTGCACTGCTTTCAATGATAATATCTACTATTCTATTACTATTGTAGTCCTATCCTAATCAATCACTCAATCAAACGTTACAGATTAGAGTACTTGACAATACAAAGAAACCCAAAGTGAGTCTCATAACATAAACAGCTGATTAAAGTAAGCTATTGTTAATGCAAAAAACTATAGTACAGCACAGTAGTAAAATTGCAAGTGCAAGTTGTTTAAGTAAGTAAAAATCTCCAGTTACACTTAATCCTGCCATATGCTGCCACCCAGAGGACATATTGGCAACTGCATCTTCTCAGCTTCAAACATTTCCATCTGTTCTTGATTAGCCTCCTCCGCTCTGTCCGCCGACCCTGAGCCTTTTACATTAAACTGACACATCCTCGAACCCTCTCACCATCCCACTTCCTCCCAACATCCGAAAACCCACCGTCCCTCGACAAATATATTCAGGAATGGAACGAGAGTGTAAATATAAGGTTATAACCACTCTGTGAAGCTACTGTTGGGGTGAAGGTAGGGCTCAACGATTTTGGAAAAAAAATTTGCTTTTTTGAATATATTTGCAATTTTATATAATCTGACATGAATATTTAACGCACCATCTTAAAAATGCTATAGATCATTAACATTTGACAGGTAAAAGTTATCAAACTTTACAAACTTCTTAAGATTTTCAGAGTAGAAAATGCAAGTCAAGGTGTAGACATAATTTGATGGAAAAGACTTTCAGCTACTTGTATGTTTTGTTTTGATCAGTCATTTCACAATCTTATGTTATTAATTAACTTATTTGTTTTGTTATTTTTATAATGTTTTGCTTGCTATGTCAAATTACTAATGCCAGTGTATATATCAGTTTATATGAACAGCACAGGGGGGCAGATCAGTGTCTTGCCCAAGGACACGTTGAGAATATATAGTAGTCAGAGCTGGGAGGCAAACCAGCAACATTCACTCCATGAACATTCCACCAACTGAGCTACAGCAGCCTTTGTGGTATGGTTGGATAAATACAGTGAGATATAGGCTCTTGTCTCCAGAATCTAAAATCTGAAAATAACAGATACCTTGAGTGCTGGGATCTCAACAGCGTCATTGATTGCAAGCGCCCCCTGCAGGATGGTGCCAGTCATGACGGTGCCCTGTCCGCGGATGGAGAAACAGTGGTCCACAGCCATCAGGAGGTCTCCACTCGGGTCTCTCTGAGGGAGGTAGGTCTGCTTCTTCAACAGCTGAGGCAATACAAATACCATTACCATGAATACATACCAGTACATATTTTTTTGAGGGGGGAAACAACTTCTACGCCACAATATAACACAAAGCCACAGTGATTGCTGCATGCTTTGAAAGTTCAGCTCTTATTTCAAGACATAGGTTTCCGTGATTCCACCTCTACTTATGGGCATAAGAGAATATTAGAATATTTTCAAGTAATTTGATTCAATGTTATCTATTCTTTTTAGAAGATTTTCTAATTGTCTTCAGTGTTAGTTGTACTTACTACGGAGTTTAAAGATTTCTCTCATAATAGTTATTTTCTTGACATTATAAATAGTTATGGATTGCTTTAATCCAGATTATAGAATTTACTAATAACATAAAATTTTGCATGTCATTTTGACAGCAGTACCCTGGTTATGTGATTTCATCAGATAAGCTCTTCAGTCTTAGGTTATAGACTAGTGCAGTGCAAGGACCATTACCTGTATTAACTCTGACACCCCCTGTGGCTCCTCTGTGTCCGGAGCCTCTGGACCTCCAGGCTTTGCTGCTACGGCGATCACGGGACAGTCTTTAAATCTGAGGCAAGATACAACGTAGAAATGTTTGGTTCTCGAGAGAGAGAGTTTAAAGTATTTTCCATTTGAAGCTCTTCCATTGTGCTAAACAAACATTTTTTAAAACTTTTAAAAAATTGATAATAGATAATGTTCTTCATCAACCTGATTGTTGAATTTTGTTTCATTGTTTCATTTACACACAATTAAATAATAGTGCATATTTAGTATATTAGTAGTATGATCTCAACCCCAACTGCTTTATGTCATTTTGTTGATAAAGTTATAATCATATAATTCAGGTTATGAGATAATAATCTGAAGTACCAAATGGTAGTAAGTGCCAGACCTTGTATTCTCCAGAGTCTTGTGCAGTCTCTTAGTCATCTTGTCTATGGCGCTCTGCCTCTTGTTTTCTGGGAGCAAGTCGGTCTTGTTGAGGATGACGACCATTCGCTGACAGGTGAGCTCCCCAATCAGGAGGCACTCTGCAGTCTGAGTCTGAACACCCTTCACCACATCCACCACCAGCATCATCAGGTCAATGATCTGAGCACCTGACATGCAACAGTATACCATGATTCAGTGGCAAAATACAGTTTTACGCATGGCAAAATAAAAATACCTTTATCAAATCATCAAAAAAATTGAAAAAAAAAAAAAAAAATCTAATCAATTGTTCCATCTAAAATGTATTTATTGCCATATTGCCTGGCCATATAGTCACTACTTATTATCTAACACAGAGCAAAATACTGTGTGATGTAAATGGTTACGTATGAGGTACCTGAGGACAACTGCTGACTGCATTTTAACCAAATATTACTAAATGGGGCCAAAACCTTCAAATGTGAACACTAAATAGTTGTGTTTTATTTATTGAATGTTGGGTGGAAGAGCATGTGGGGTTGTTTTTAATGGACCTAGAGTGCTTTGTTTTACAGCTTTTTGCATGACAAGTGTTCTGTAAATAAAGTTTGATTTAATGATTGATTGACTGATGGCTCTCATTGGACTGTTGTATATAAGGGCAGTTCCAGATTATCAACTGGAATTTTGGAATATTGAAAAATCATTTGCAATATTGAGCAATCATGAGTCATGACCTAACTAAACTGTAACATGTGCTAATAGCTAATAGACACTGAGGCGTCACACGGCCAGTGTAAAACAACTCCAGTGTCGAGAGAAAAGGAAAAACAAACAGGAACAGACAGAGTTCTCCAACAAAAACAATCAAACAAGAGCAAGGACTAAAGCAGCGATCCGCAGCAGCACTGGGACCGACTGGGACTGAAGGAGCCTACAGGACCAGGGGCTGTAACCAGATCTGCTCCGGCTTTGGGCTCTGGGTCCTGGGTCCTTCTTTTGGCTGCGTCTCTTTCCTGAGCTCCTCACTTGGGACTCAAGAGGAAGTTTAAAACAAACTCTGATCCACACACTCTCCTTCCTGCTTAATCCACAGCATGTGCCACCTCCAAACCAGGATTTACATACTGTATACACTTTATGTGGAATAAAATAAAAATATATGCTTGTCTTCAAACAGTAAAAATATTTACATGTTTGAGTTGTTTTAAATAATCTTTTTCACCTTCACCACACTCTGATTAGGTACAGCAATTAGGTGCATTTTCTAAAACAACATTTTCTTCTTCTAAATTTTATGGGATTCAGGAGTAATCAAGCAATAAGTAACAACTTATCAAGCTTCTAAAATAGCATTGATAAAAGGGGGCACGCTGTTTCCCCTTTTTTTAATTTCCGTGGTTAAATACAAACTAATTAAATATTTATAAAAAGGTAAAACAACTGTCATTAGGAATACAAAAGAAAAACATATACTTATTTTTATGCATAACAGAGAGCAGCAAAAATCTGACAAACATCAATCTATTGTCTGATAGTGTCACAGTGCCCTCTTCTGGGTGTGTCTCCAGCATTTAGAGAGAAGATATAAAATTTTAATATAAATTTTATGAGCATAACAGAAATACAGAGTCATTAGATTGTTTTATTAATTAAATTAAGACATCACACTTTACAATTACATGGGCATATGAGCAGTACTGCAGTCCCTTGATACTTAACTGTGTATAGGAGTCTTTATAGAGTCTTTATAAATATATATGAGAGGCAGTGCAGCAGAATATAAAATGACCGCTTAAGCAGGTTTTGAATTAAGCTAATTAATTGAAGTTATCGCTGTGAGTTGGATCAACAGAGCCCTAGGACAGTGATCAAATATCCAAGCTTTATTTATGATGTGTTTACACCTGCAGAGGGACACCTGCTGCTGCCTATAAGAGTTTAAGCACTGGAAATTGATATTGACTGCACCGTTAAATAAGAATTATATATGAGCTACAGGCAGGGAGGCTTTAATTACTGAGACTATACTGGCACAGACAATCCATTACAATTTTTGGAGTAGAAATGTCACACAACCATTTTTTAAAGGTAAAATAAGCATAACGAGTTTTGTTTTACTTTTCTGGAGTGATATATGGTTATGAAGTAAGAATACTGTTACCTTAGTTTTAGCTATTATCTAGGTCTTAAATACCCATATAGACTAGACTATTGATGGTTTTCAGACTCTAGATGTGATCATGTCATACTGCCAGATGGGGGGCAAGAGCCATTTTTCTCTTTTAATTACATTGTACTTTGCCATGACATATCCAAAAGGAAAATTCGCAAATGTTTAACCTGATCAGTTCTATCAGTGACCAGATCCAAGAACTCACTGTATTACAACAAATATCTGCATTTATATGCAAGATATATAAATGCAGCTCACCCTTCACTCACCTCCAATGATAGTCCTGATGAGAGAGGCGTGCCCGGGACAGTCCACTAGGGTGAACTGGAGGCTGTCGTACCGCTCCCCGGCGCTCGCCTTCAGGTTTTCCGGGAGCTCTACTGTGAAGGAGGAGAAGCCCAGGTCCAGGGTGATGCCTCTCTCTTTGGACTGGGGGTTCTTATCAAAAGCAGCGGTGGATGCGGTGCTACTCAGAGCCCTTGCCAGTGATGTTTTCCCGCTGTCAACATGCCCAAGCACTCCCACGTTGAAATTTAATGTTTTGGTGCGGTGATCCGACTGATCCGACATTTTTCAAACCAGTTTAAGGCGATGGTGAAAGATGTTACTTTAGTTTATGCTGAGGTGGACATTGAACTCTACTCCAAATAATTGCCTATAATGACAGCATGCTAACTTAGAGATTTCTATCGTTAAAATCTTGAATCTACGTACTCATTAAGTTGTAAGTACAGTTTTAGTGTCGCATCCAATTGTTCTGCAAATCTAGATGTTGGTACATGGAGTTTTTTGCATATTTTGCAAATATTAGGTTATATTTTACTCACTGATAAGTTTCTGGCAGTTTCTACTAGCTTGAGGAAAGCAAGGCACATGCGGAAGTGAATATATATAAGGGCGGGGATAAGAGCTTGATTGACACAGGTTTCAGCCAATGAATATGTTGATCTTGAACGGCGGAGAAAGTAGTATTTTTATTAAATCAAATTAAAACGAAATAGTAAATAAATATAAGTATACTAATAGGTTACATAATATTAATGAATTAATATTTACATTCGGCATTTGTTTTCAGAAAGTTAAAATGTAGTGGGCGGGGTCTATGAGAAACACTTCCGCTCATTTTCCCTAGTTACCCACATGGTAACCGATTTTCCTGTGTTTTGAGTTTCGGCGGCTTTTGTGGAGGCAAGATTCTCTCCACGGATTTTTCGGCTGTTTGACCAACTTTAGGGATAATTTGTAGTTTTATTAGTGCTTGTTTTCATAGATACAACAGCTATGAAGATCGAGGAGGTGAAGAGCACAACGAAAACCCAGCGTATCGCATCTCACAGTCACGTTAAAGGACTAGGACTGGATGAGGCCGGTAATGCTAAACAGTCGGCATGTGGTCTGGTGGGGCAAGAGGCTGCGAGAGAGGTAATATAAATGTGTTATTAATTATTTGGTATCTATGTTTTATTTTAATGCGTGACTGGAGTGTTTGTTGCCGTTGAGAAGCGGGCAAATAGACCGGATAACAGAATAAGCTAAGTGCTAATTGTGTTAGCATGAACTGTGGGGTCGCTGTTTTCCAACCGGGTCAAGTAAAAAATACAAACTGTATATGTGATTTGTGGATTTATAATATGTACCAGAGTTGTAATAAACATTATTTTCTAAAATAACCAAAAGTACAGCAATGTAAATTTAATGTTCCAATTTAATTTCCTGACCAACAGGTGCACCCAGATCAGGTGATACTCTAACTTCATGCCATTCACTGTAAATAAATAAATGTTATTATTTCTTTCAGGCTTGTGGTATCATTGTGGAGCTAATCCGTTCAAAAAAGATGGCTGGGAGAGCAGTATTATTAGCTGGGCCACCAGGCACAGGAAAGGTAATGAACAAAATGCATAGCCCACATTTAGTGTTGTATAATATAATGTACTGTTTACATTGTGGTTTAAACACTTTCTTTCTCTTTTCAGACTGCTTTAGCGCTGGCTGTGGCACAGGAGTTGGGAAGCAAAGTGCCTTTCTGTCCAATGGTTGGCAGTGAAGTCTACTCCTCAGAGATCAAAAAGACAGAAGTGCTGATGGAGAATTTCAGAAGAGCCATTGGTGAGTATTATATGTATGACTGCTGTAAGACTGCTTTATTATTTATCTTGAGGAGTCAACATTTTATTGGATCCATCTCAAAAGTTCAACATAGATAAATGTATTATTGCTATTTATCCACACGTTATTTAGAAAGAACAACAGTTTACACCAACAGATTTAGCTGACACAAATAAATCAGTCTTGAACTACAATGTAATCAATAAAGGATTCACTTATTGTACAAAAAAGAAATGGGAAATGCTACTACTTCTGATCTGATTATGTTCTCTTACAGCTCTTATACTAGGCTAATCAACACATCATCTCTTTATTTAACCAGCCATTCAGTGAACACCTTGAATTTGTTTGTTGAGCAAAGCTTGTGTGTTGGGAGACAGAACAATAAAGGAGCAAAGAGAGGGTGAGAGAGAGAGAAAGAGAGAGGGTGGGGGTCCTGTCCTGGATGCTGATAGTTCCCGTCAGAGGAGGAAGTGCAGCACATTCTCTATAGGCTTTAGAGGCTGTGCTCCTCCCACAGAACCTGATCCACTGAAGTTTAGGGTCAGATTTTAAGTCTGTCATCACCTTGTCCAGAACAGTTATGTATGAATTGGCCACCTGTGTGCATCCTGTCCAACAGACCAGGATCAGGTTACTTATAATTGTACAAGTAGCCATTTTTAAAGCACTTACCTTTTTGTAATTAATGTACTGTTGAGTAAGTAACAGGTGGCAGTCTTAATATTGTATGGTCTATTTATCATAAAAACCTAAAATGTCATTCCAAGACTTAACAGAAATTAATATCTATTTTTGGCCTCCTGATGACAGTAATCATATCCAATTTTCATCAATCCAACAGAAATGTGTGGAAATATAAATATCATACATAATATATCAAACATAAATGTCTTGTGCCGCACCAAAAGTGAAAGCACTGTAAATTAAAAGGGCAGCAATATTACCTTAAGATTACACAAGTTTCATCATCAACATTTTTCACACTTTCTAAGTCTGAATCATTTATTAATGACTGCATAAGTTGGAGGAATTTGTTTCTGGTACAGCAAGAAATGCTCACATCTTTTTTTGTATAGAATGTGCATAGCTGGTCTCTTGTATAATTATATATGGCCAACTTCTAAGATCTATTAAACACTAACAGTAATATATGTTTTTAGGCCTGCGTATCAAAGAGACAAAGGAGGTGTATGAAGGAGAGGTGACAGAGCTGACACCCTGTGAGACAGAGAACCCCATGGGCGGATACGGCAAAACCATCAGCCACGTCATCATTGGCCTGAAGACTGCTAAAGGCACCAAGCAGCTCAAGGTGAGAATCAAGGTTTCCCACTGAGTTATTTTATACATAAAAGTTTATCATGTGCTCAAGAAGCTGTTGTGTGTTTCAGCTTGATCCCAGTATTTATGAAAGTCTTCAAAAGGAGAGAGTTGAAGTGGGCGATGTCATCTACATCGAAGCCAACAGTGGAGCTGTGAAGGTATTAAAGCATCTCTCTTAATCTGTATGTTCAGTAGGAACAGTAGTTAATAGTCATTCTGGTAAAAAGTTGTGTTTGAGATATTTCAGGGTTAATTGAGTGGTGAACGGTTTGTGCTGGTTGTTTGTCCTATTTGTGATTTTGTTCAGTATAATTAGCAGTACTGGTTTAATTGATAAACGATAAAAATAATGGAATAATACAAAAAGGTTCAAAACAATGCTAGCACACACGTCTATAAAATTATGCTGCTAATAATACAGTTGGTGCTGTGAGAACCAGTTTAAAACAATTTAAAAATTAATATTACTATTAATACTATTAATATTAATTCCAGTGACCTTTTCTGTCCTCTACGGTGCTCTTCTGTATTTTCCTCTGTGAAAGTTGCTGTACATTCCCTCCTTTGGGGCACGAGCCGGTCATTCCTGCCCCTCCTCACGTCTCTGTATCTCTCCATCTCCTGCGCTGCTCCGGGGGTTTGTGGCGTGCGATGAAAACCTGCTATAAGACCCCCTTTAGTCGTCTCTGGTGGGCCATGAGCATATAAGCCCTGTATTCAGAGCCACATTTGTTACTGCTGACAACCTCATAACCTGAAGATTCAATGCTTTCATCTGGTTTGGCGCTGGGTCACCACACACCTGCTTCCCTCTGCACTGGCCGGCCTTTGTTCTCACTCCCATTTGAAAATGGGGCTGAACAATTTGGGAATTTTTCTGACAAGCATTGCAATTTATATTTGCAATTTATGTTTTTAGAAAAAGGTTTTTAGGAGGGGAAGTTCACATTTGATCACATCCAGAAGAACTGACAAAAAGACAGAAATAGGAACTGTGGAGGAAATGATGGTACTTCAAAACTTGCAGCTGATTTGCTAGTTGTGTTCATTACAATCAAATTGCAGTTTTGATTGTGGTCATTCTCGCTGCCCAATTTGGTTATCATGAATATAATGTTTTGTCTGTTTTGCTTTATTTTTTGTTTTTTAGAGACAAGGTCGCTGTGACACATTTGCAACAGAGTTCGACCTGGAAGCGGAGGAGTATGTCCCACTGCCCAAAGGAGATGTCCACAAGAAGAAGGAGATAGTGCAGGACGTGACACTGCACGATCTGGATGTGGCCAATGCAAGGCCCCAGGTATGGATGAGGAGGATCTGTGTTATTGGTGTAATTATGGGGAAAAAGTATTATTAATTAAATTAATTCTATAGTGCTTTTCTTGAACTTCAAACATACTGTAAGTGAATGCTTCTTTCCATTCACTCTCTATACACAGAGGTTGCAAGACAGTTCAATCCATGTGTTTCAGTTGCTATGACAATTAACAACTCAAGACAAAACATATCTTTTGAATGGTCAACTGTCCTCAAAATGGTACCATAGAAGTGGGAAATGTAAAACCCATGGATAGCCAATCCTACAGAGGCACAGCTCCCAAACCACCATGACACACTCTCACTCACACAGCACCTTGTACGCAAGGAAAAGTGTCTTGCTCAAGGCCACTCTCAAGGTGCACTGCTAAGAGCTGGGACTGAACAGTCTGCCCTCAAGTTAGTAGGCAAATTTACCACTGATAATTGTCATCTTTTTATCACTTTTTCACTCTGTCAGTTAAAAAATTCTCAACTTTCTAATCCTTGCCAAACTTGACTTACATTTTTTTCTTTCAGGGAGGCCAGGACATTCTCTCGATGATGGGACAGTTGATGAAACCTAAAAAGACAGAAATTACAGGTTACAGTCCATCGTTATTTCTTGTATAGTATTGATACTAATTTAGATTCTGGGGGTGCTCTACTTGTATTTCTGTGGTATAATGTTCAGCTGTTACCATGGTGACAGGATACTCAGTTAAGCAAACATAGCCTGAAAGTTTTTAGATGGTCTCAAGAAAAAATACAAAATAGATTCAAACAACACATTAATAAGCACACAAAAGGTGAGAGTGACTAACTGAGAAACTGTTGACTAATGCAAGCTAGCTTGTGACTGTAATGTTTTGTGTGAGAGACTTGTTTAACAGTACAAAGCAGCTCACTTGTTGTAACTCAAATCAAGTCAGTTCTTTATATGTAAAGAATCCCTTAGTCGTCCAGGTAGAACCCATGGCGAGGAGAAAATTCAGTTTGTCAAACTGAATTTTCTCCTCGCCATCAGTTCTAAATAGTCAGATTGTGTTACAACACCACTCAGATTAAATGTACTTACAGTTAGCATAACACCCCCAAAGAATGCTGCAAATCATCAATAGTATCTTACAGTCTGTATTCCCTCCCTCCTCCAGATAAACTGCGTGCAGAGATAAACAAAGTGGTGAACCGGTACATAGACCAGGGTGTGGCAGAGCTGGTGCCCGGGGTCCTGTTTGTGGATGAGGTTCACATGTTGGACATTGAGTGCTTTACATACCTCCACCGTGCGCTGGAGAGTACCATCGCCCCCATCGTCGTGTTCGCCTCCAATCGTGGGAACTGTCTCATCAGGTCAGTGCCAAACTCGGGAAGGGTTCCAAAAAAGCACTTGGAAAAAATATAAAGAATTTCTCATGTAGCCTAGGTTAACTATAATATACCTGTCTGTTGCTTTTTTGAACCCTGCACTTTTTTTTCCATACAGACTGAGCCAGACTCATAAGACTCTTTATGAAAACAAAATGCTATTTGAAAATAACCCTCAGCAAGATGGCTGATTCATGAAATGTGTCATTGTAGAAATAAACAAATGAAGTGAAAATGACAGGTAACCATTTGGGGTTGTGATGTTAAATAATAGATCATGGTGAGCTTGGATATAATTCTATGCTCTGGAGCTCTGTAGTCCACCAAATCCATCCTAATGCGTGTGTGTGTGCCTTTTTATTTATTTTTTAAAAAAAAATGCAAATAGCTTTAAATGCAAAAAAGATGTTAATCTCCATTCACCTGTCTCCTCAGAGGAACAGAGGACATCAGCTCTCCTCATGGTATCCCTCTGGACCTGCTTGACCGAGTCATGATCATCAGGACCATGATGTACACACCACAGGAGATGAAGCAGGTGAGAGGGTCTCTGTTAACCTGGGATTATTTTATTTTTATCACTTTATATTAATGTCACTGTTGTTTCAGATTATTAAGATCCGCGCTCAGACTGAAGGCATCAATATCAGTGAAGAGGCTCTCACACATCTGGCAGAGATCGGCTCCAAAACAACACTCAGGTAAAGATCTCAAATTACTTCTGAAATAACGTAATTTTAAACCCTGGTCTCATGCAAATAACCTCTTGTGAAACTCCTCTACTTCCCTATCCTGTGTATAAACATCAGTTTGATAATCTGCCCTCTCTCACTGTAATTTTTTATATCTCCTCAGATATGCGGTGCAGTTACTGACGCCAGCTAGCCTTTTGGGGCGAGTTCAGGGCAAAGAAAACGTGGAACGAGAACAAATCGAAGAAATCAACGAACTTTTCTATGATGCAAAATCCTCGGCTAAAATCCTCCAGGACCAACAGCACAAGTTTATGAAATGAACACCGCTCCACTTTTTTTTTTTTTTGAGCCAACAGTCAAAGTATTTCTCTGCGTAATATATTTATGCAACTCCTCATCACTCACCCAATGTTTCTGTCAACCTTCATCTTTCATTTGTTGCATTTGTTTTATTTGTTACAGTTGGGAAATTATTCTTAATAAACAAAAATCCTTGGCAACCTCTTATTTTGTAAACTAAATTATACAGTAGTATCCACTAAATAGTCAGTAGAACTTGTTCAGTCTCAAGGACAATAAAGGTGCATTCTTCCATTTAACAAAACCACAGAATCATCAGAATGTACTATACACACGTAATGTAGTTGTTGATCTATATCAGGTTTATTATTGGTAATAAATTGTGATGCTTTAAGTGAATTTCAACATAGTGCAAAATAAGCCATTACATTCTCCACACGGTTATTGTAGTGAATCCTCTTATTTTTTTGCTGGTCGAGTCGATCGTGTGTTGAGGACCGTCTCTCCTCCTGAGCGTGCTTTACTGAACACAGAGGGCGCTGTTTTACCCATTTTCTCTGTGAAAGAACAAATTCACAATCAGCCACAAAAATATCTTCTTAAATTGTCAGTCCTAAAATATGATGTGTTAAAGAAAATAAATGAACAGGTGTTTAAAATAAGGGGGGAAATTTATGTAATGCTTTTCCATATATAGACCTACACAAAATACTTCACATTGCATTATTCATTCACTCAACTGTTACTTTTTAGCCAGTTTCCTTGGGGTAGACTGACAAAGGCAAGGCTTAGTAGTCATTAGTTTACAATAACAAATGTACACCACTATGTTTAAGCTACTACTTTAATGCCATAACATCCAAAAATGTATATGATTATGTTTTTATGCAAATCTCACTATTTTCATACAGTTCATATAACACCAATTAAAACGAAAACCAGTGTCAAGGAGGAACAGGGCCTATATATCTGTGCAGAATAACTAAAAAGGGACAGCTGGTTACTCACTGGTCTACAACATTACATGTTCTTGAACAAGACAAATTACAGTTTAAATTACCCCTCTGCTGTTACCCTCTTCTCTCTATATAAGGACAGGAAACTTGTCCAACAACAGCATGAACATACCTCCAACTTCCTCCAGTCTCCAAGGACATTTGCACAGTTGTGGGTAGTAGCTAAAGTAAGAGTACTTTAAAATAATGTTCCTCAGCAATAGTAGCAATAGTGATCAAAAAATGACTCAAGTAAAAGTAAAAACTGGGAAAACTACTACTACTCATGTAATAGTTGTAAGAGTAACTAACTGTAACCGTCAGGATGTATTTGATTTATAATTTGAAGTTAATGTAATTGTAAGGACAAAACATATGATGGCCAAGATTTGCATTTGTATTTTAAAAGGATAGTCTAAAAAAAATTTAGAAACTATGTATCAGAAAGACCGGTGCAAGAAACACAGATGTTCATTTAAATTAATTTAATATTATATAATTTGCTTAAGGTGAGAAGAGCAACCGCATTTCTTATTCTGTAAAGCACCTTGAATTACTTTGTGTACAAATTGTGCTATACAAATAAACTTGCCTTGCCACAAGTTTTACTCAAATAAGAGTACTGTTACACTGTCAAACACATTACTCAAGAAAAAGTATCTGAAAACTACTCAGAGAAGTACAATTGTATGTACTCAAGCAAATATACAAGATACTATCAGACACTATATACACACAGTATTTACATTGTCCTTTCAATTCTACTCACCACACTCCTCCATAACTTCAAATGTTTTGCTTTTTGGAGGTCCAGTCAGTCCCAGTCTGTTCCTGCCCTCTGCCAGATCTTCTTCTGTCAACTCTGGACGCTGGACTTGTTCATCTTCTTGCTAGAGAAGAACTCACCACATTACGGCTTGCTAAAAGTTATCATTTATTCAGGAAGATGTAAAACTTACTTGAGACATGTTGGTTTAAAATGCAGGTTTAAGTGGTACGGTTATCTCACTGTTCTTGTAGGAAGCTTGTTTAGTTTAACTGTCCCAGGGCAATAAAAATGTCCAACAAATGATGTAATGTCAGACTTGCTCCTCCTCCGTCCTTCCTCTGGGAATCTCGTGGGCAGAGTCCCAATCACTGCCTCATAACCACATGTAGGAGAGAGAAATCACTACAAGTATTACAACAAGAACTACGGCCAGGAATCACAGGGTCTCTGACGATTCAATACTATAGTACAATAAAAAGCTCACAGTATAATAATTTTCACATATGGCACAAGATATTCTGTGATTTATGTGTGTTTTTTAAGAACCAATTGTATTTCTTTGTTAAATTACTACCTGCCCAAACTTGTACCAGTACTAAAACATACACTTGTGGATCAGACGGATTGGAGATATCTTTCGCAAACAGTGCCTCACCCATAGATACACACTGACCATTGTCTCCATCTGAAATTGTGAAATCAAATTCAATTTAGAACATGAATGACGCCAAGCAACTAGCTAACTTTCACTGTTTAGGTTCCATATAACACAAACAAAGCAATGACTCTTTTCTTGTGTAAACCTTTTTACTGATTGTTTGGTATAAACACATTGATACATTCATAACATTTTTTCCATTAGTGAAATAGTCTCTGATACCCTCATGTACATCTATTATTTTTTCAGTAAACTTTTCTGTGTGTAGATTCCTTAATTTCAGTGGTGTTTTTTCCTGTATCGAGGCAGCAGTTGTGTTTGGACGAACTGAATGAGTCTCGTCTCTGTGACGTAAACAGTGAGAAACACGAAGCATAAACAGACTCCGCCCACAGACACATGGAGCAGCCTGAAGAACCAGCCACGCTCACAGCAGAAGGCAAACTGCAACAGAGGGACAAGAGAGGGACGTCAGAGCTGTACTTTTTACAATTTATAATAAAGAAGTTATTGTTATTACTGTCACTTTTTTTTTTAAACACAATCTGACCATAAAAGGCTGATTGCATAATGCAACATTACTACATAATGTGGCTCTACACATCTCCATGGTGACAGGCAGGTTGTGGACACTCCAACAGAAAAGTTACAAAGTGTAGCTTTAAACCTCACCTCTGACAAAGCTGTGACCACTGCACTGACAAGCAGAGCCAGTATCAACAGTGGAGATGGAACGAGACCACGCAGAGGTTTCCATGGAGACGAGCTGAAGTAGTGATGAATGAACACGATGCTGTGGAGGATTCGCAGGCCCATGTTCAGACAGTTGGCCAAAATAAATCCCACTCCTCCGGCCCACCAGGTCAGAGCATAAGAGAGGAGCAGGAAGGAGACTGACAGGCCCAGCATCACCAGGTTATATCTGAGAAGACAGGAGACAGTGTTGGAAAATCATATGTGTCTGGAATAATTCAGTGTGGTGATTAGAAGTGTCACAGTACAAAAATTCTGAATTTGATCCAGACAAGAAGGAAATTAATAAAATCATGGGTTAAACTTTGTTATCAAAATAATTATATATTTTCTTGAGAGAGCTGGGGTTGTTCTTACTTGTCCACCTGCTTTTGGCTCATAGCAGCAAACACAAAACATTCAGTGACACCGTTGACAGCGAGGAGCAGAACATAGCCGCTGTAGCACCTGAGTAGGCTGGGTCCTTCGGGGAAAACCATATAAGAAATGACTTGACAATTTTTACAGCTAGGCACTACAACAAAGACATTTTTAAGAGCTGATGACATAAATAACTTCAATGTGATTCAGCAATGATTCCATTGCTTATTTTGTCCCTCACCTGTCCCACTACTGAGCAGAGAGC